CCCGCCAGATGGTTTGATCCTTTTACTATAGTAAGAGTCTGACAGTTTTCTGCCAAAGAGGTTTAACATCCACATTATGAGCTGATAATATATATATATTGGGTTTCCTCGTTTTTTCTTCGATCATAGTGACTAGCAGGATCAGAGATGTGACCCCATTGGTTTGTTCAGCCTCAGGAATATGTTTGGGAACAAGATAGGGCCAACAAAAGCGTTGAATACCCCATCAACAAGGAACAAGAGCCATAAGATGAGCAAATGGCCAATGGATGTCAAAGCTGACATCTTCGACTCAGCTGCAGCCAGTTTGACACCAAGGATGGAATGGAAGATTGTTCAGACTTCTGGATTATGTGCCTTGGTGTGTGTGTGTGTGCGTATGGGTGCGTGTGTGTGTAACCGTAACCCTTGGAGTCATAGGGATTCCTTCGAATTTGTTTTCTTTCTTAAAGCAGGGGGCTCTCGGAGCCTGCATGCAGCGCTTGTGCAAACGTACATGCTGTTCACCGCACCTGGGCATCTAAGTGCAGCTGGTGGGTCCTATGTCGTTGGTCCCTGATTTTAGCTAGAACAAGAACTCTAGCCTTTGCACCGGTTTGCACTCCGCAGTTGTGAGAGAACGTTGTCAGCCTGTCGTTTCGTGATCGTCGACTTTAGACTGGAGATTTTGGGCCTCACCTTCCTTGTGTTGGACCTCCAGGATCCTCAGACTTCCTACTTCTTACACGAATTTCTCAGGATTTGGGTGCCTAGGCTGCCGTGTGGCGAGCGGCATTCAGTTCAGTACGCATTTCCTAAGAGTGTGTGTGTTTGTGTGCGCGCGCACATTCCCCAGAGTGTGTGTGTGTGTGTGTGGAACACCTTCATTAGTCCCGAGAAGCCGGATTACATGTTGTATCCATTACTGGGCGCCGCGCTTGTCTTATGTGTAAGGGTTTGCCGAACTCAACAACAAAACCTTGTCCAGTGAAAATGGGGATTCATTGATCAACCTTTAACCTCTATATAACACATTGTTTCACATATTGTATTGAATCATATGTAGTAGTTTTGTAAAGGGGCAGGGTTCTATATACTTGTTTCTATTTCAGTTGACACACATGTCAAGTCATGACATCATGAGAAATTGGTTCGACAAGGGTGCCATCTAGAAAACCTGAAACATGCAATCTAACTGCAAATGGGTAATAGAAACATAATACTTTTGCCATTCTACAGATGTTCGCGGGCGGTGGTCTGTGAAAGGCGTGCGACCACCAGTGGTGGCAGTCGTTTCGGCCTCACAGCCACCTGCGTGCAGATGCCTTGGCAAGGTCAAGGTTGTTCGATCGTGTTTTTTGGATTCACTGTCCAGGAACCAGGTGGGGATTCACCCAGTTCTGCAAAAAGCAGCATCGCACCAGAGCTCAGGCTACACAACACCGAGCTGCAGCTTCCAGAAATTCGAGAGGCCAAATTTGGGGCAAAAGCTTTGATCTTTGCTCATCCAAAGGTGTAGGAAAATGATGATATTCCTTTACTCTTTGGGTGATCTCTTGGAGATTCTAAGTAGCTCGATTGCTGCTGCATACAGCAATGATAAAGCCTGAAACAGTTTCACTTTGGGTAGGTGCCTTGGCGCTGTTGCTTTCCCACGGCTTCGACTCGATTCCCACGTTCTTCACGTTCTTTGTCTCGTCATCAAACCTCTTCGATATAAGGAATGGCGGAGACGCATGAGTTCGAAACGATTTGGATGCGAATCACAACAGATGTGAACAGTTTTTTGTTGGCCACTCTGGTTCCACCACAACTTACCATGTCCTTTGATCGTCGGCCAGATTTTGTTGCATGCGCCCCACTGCCTGCAGGGAAGACGCAAGAAGTAGAGGCCTTTGGATGCCAGTCACGAGGTGAGCCGTAGGATGCACTCTTTCCACAGAGGGCGAGAAAAAACGACAAAAAGAAAACACTAGAACAAGTAAAAAGAAAAGGACTGGTCTAAAGGTCTTCAGAAAAAGAGAAACTGGTGTGATCCTAGATGTGCAGATTCTTCTTTCCTGGCCTGGCTGCTTGCAGGTAGCTCTCAGTCGCAGAGGTGCCAAACTTCTGCTGCGCTTGCTCTTGAGCTCGCAGCCACCGTGGCTAATAGATATGAAGGCAAACAACAAAACTTTTTGTAGCTTGGCTCTGACTTCTCCGGCCAAGTCAGCAGGCACCTGGCCCACCTTTTTTTAAGCCCAGATAGATCCTGAGAGTGCTGAGAGATCGCCCGGGGCGAACTCGATCCAAAGCGGCATCTTGGGTGACGCCCAGAGTCAGTATTGTTTGCTACCTGGGAAGCTCTGTCGTGTGCGAAAACAGACAATGTGCTAAAATCAGTCGAAACCATGGTCTTCCATGATTTGGTGATTGACACCTGGGAAGATGTCATATGAAACATATGACATACAAACAGCCTGGATCCTCAAAATCCCTCATCTTCGCGACAAACCAAGATCAACCCAAGCGGTTAAGGGATGAGGAAGAATTCCTCGAGCCATGATGAACTCTCAATTGTGCGTGCGAATGGGTTAGCTGGGGGCTAGCTGGGTGCAGACAAAAATTCATTGCTTGATGAAAGCAGATAGATCGGAGTTCAAGGCTTGACGAATGCAAATAGATCGGATTTCAAGTTTGTGTGGCTCAAAGAGTAGTGGCTGCAGAGTCTATACCATTCTATACCCATCGTTTCACCAATGAGTGGTGCAGCCTATTGTGTTTGAGCCATACCCATTTGTGATGTCAGTGAGCCGTTTTCTGTTTGTTGGCACTGGCATTCACAACCTGTCCGCATTTGTTGGCAACTCAATAATTTGCATTCTTGAAAACAGTGGTGGTGGGAGACAGGTGTTTGGTCTGAAATCACGAGCAGGTGCGAGTCATATTTGATTCAGTTGTCTCCCGTGCCATTTCGTGCCTCCTGAAGCTGTCTAAGACCATCCGCACGAGTTTAAAATAGTTTAAATCTCAATAATTTCAACCAGTTGCACGAAAGCCACTTGGCCACCCCACAAGGGTTCCCCAGCAGATAGTTGCATTGAGAACAATCACTATGACCATTCATCCAAGCAATTTTCAGTATTCAATGACTCGTCCACCGGGCCCAAGTGGGTTTCATGTTAAACACACTCCCGCCGTCCCAAACGGTTGGTGAGCCCGGAGTCAGCTAGACTAACCTGAAAGCACCAGCCGCAACAGAATCACTACAGAAAGAGCAAGGGCCCCGGTTGGAAGTTGCGGAAAGGGGCTTGAAAAGGGATGAAAAGGGTAATTAGAACAATAGAACAACAAAAACAATATATCAAGTGTCCATATGAGTCCATCCTACCAAGCAATTCATATAAACCAGTTCCGAGTTGCTTGCGAACTACCGTACCCCATTGGAAAAATGAGAAACAGTTCAGGCTATGGTTTGATACAATGCATATGAATACATATGATACCTTGCTGCGCCACGCTAGAGATAGCTTTCCATGAATGAAGTGCTGCAGTGCTGAACCTCAATTCTTCAGGGCTGAAATAGGAATGCCCAAATCTAGTTAGCTGTGAAGAAGCAAGTGAGCTGTTCAACAAGAGGCAGGTAGAGCTGGTTCGTGGGAGGACAATCTTCTTTGATTCCATGAAAGTTAGCAACTCCTATGTCCCCCAAACCCTTCAATTGATCACTATTGACCATTGACTATTGTATGATATTGTATGGATTTTCCAATCAGGACCCATCAGTTTTTCACGTATCTCAAATATCCTGAAAGGCCATGGCTTTGGTTTACTGTGCTGCTGTTTTGCTTTAGAAGTAATTCGGAGAAAGATGCAACCGCGAGCGAGCGAAGCAGAATTCAGAGAACATGGAAGGCGAGCTGCAGCGAGCGAACCCACGGCACAGCATGGGTTGCCTTTACCATCACACGATGGACGTACAAACATGGATGGTAAGAACGTAAGAACCAGAATGGAATATGCAAAGAATGGAAGTAGAAAAATCAGAACCAGACTATAGCGCGCGGCCTATCATAGGCAGTGAAGTCGGAGGGGAATCAGGTGGAATCTAAAACTCCATTTGTATGGCTAGATTCAGTGTTCTCAAGTGAAATCCTTTGAGTCACATACCAATGCAAACCCTTGGAGTTGTACAATGGTGTGCTGGGCTGTGTTGTTCTGACTCCCAATTGTGATGTGGTTGCTTCAACGGGCAAAAGAGCCAGTGTTAAGTTGGATAGATGCCGGAACCCAAACACATTGGCCTTCTCCATTGACACAGGTTGACGTTGCATTCCAAGCTTGTATATAGTCTCTCATAGAAACCGCCATGTGCTGCCCCGAGGGTAGAAAAGTGAGAATCCACCATTAAACTTGCAGCAGTACTGGCTCATTCTGTGTCTTTTTTGTTAAATCACGTTCACCCTTTGTGTACACAGCCTGAATCTCAGTTGACAGAGGACTGCTCCGTTCGCTGGCTTGAGATACAGTCCGTGTGCTTGTTTCCGTCAATAAACTTGTCTTCGCCCAAGTCTGCCGGATGTAGGTGAATTGGTCTGAATTGGTTGAGCCAGGTGCCATGGCGCGTGCCAAGGTACCTGTCAATGCCAATGCTGAACAGATCCGACATCTTGTGGAAATACTCGATCGAACTCCGGGTACTATCAACGTGGAGTTCGCAAAGACGATGATGCGGACCATGTCCTGGACGTGGCCAAAAAGGGGAGCTGCCAAGCTTGGGGAGTGAGGCTTGGCTCAACGGTCAAGCTGTTTGCTGGGGACGATGCGACTCCTCCCAGATGTAGGCGATAGTTGCAGGTCCCATCCAAGCACACTGGAGCAAGATCCTGCAGACATTGGACAAAGAAGACAACGAGGTATGTCTATGTTTGGGTCCGGATGTCTTCTGGGTCCGTACATGTTGGTGTGATGTTGTGGTCCATGTCGTGGTTTCATCTTCCGATTCGTTTTTGCAGATGTGTGGAGAACCGCCAAACCTCCAGGTACCAGCTCGAGGACCTCTTGGCCCTGCCTGCGCCCGCCGCGACCACCGAAGTGGAGGCCGCGCGGTGCGAACATTCCGCAGTCGCGTGCGGCGCAGGGCGGGTGGGGCTGGATTTGCCTCGGACCCTGGGGTTTTGGGCAGAATGAACCCAAACTATCTAGCAGAATCAGGATTAGTTAAGTAATTTAACCAGAAATCTGTCCTGGAAAGAGTCTTTCTACTCAGCTTCAGAGTGTATCCTCGGTCATGGATTTGCTCTTTCACTCGGCGTTTTGTGCTCCTTCTGCTGTTGCTACAGATTTCCAATCCCTCGAGAACCGGCTCCTGGTTGAACGTCTTCTGATGGACAGAGCGACCAAATAGGACAACGGATCAAGGTGTTGATTGGGCAGGATGAGGAAAGGATGAATGGAAGCCTGGGAAGCATGTCCAAAAAATGCCTGTTGGGCATAGTTGATAAAGCACTACTACGTTCAGGAAGTGCGGCTACAGGCTCAAGCAATTCACCAGTCAAATGCTTGCTATATATATATATAGTTACGTTAGTTATTAGACATGTTGATTTATATCATATGTTGGGTCATGTTGATTCAGGTGACATTGGGCATGAATACTGAGCTGATATATGTGTTTTCACTGTCCAGGCTTTAGGTCATAGTAGAACGAACATGAATGAACTACCCGACTCTCGATGAAGTCAGGCATTGTTCGGAACGTCGACCAGCGGGCGCCTGGCAGCACCTGCGGGGCGCCTTTTTGGAGCTGCGCCACCGCGGGAGGTCACCTTAGCCACTCAGCTCTCCAAGAACATTGTGCTGAACAGCCCGTTGGTTGCCGCACCCATGGACACCGTCACGGAGGCCGAAGAAAAGTGGCACGTACGTCCGGGGGGAGATGGTACAAGAAAAGGCATCAAAAATGCATTATGTCCACGCAGTGTCACAAAGAGATGGCACTGAAGATCCTTTTGTTTGGTCGAATTTTTGTTGAAACCAGGGCATTGTTAGAACTGAAACTGATGGCACACTTGTGCCAACATCTCTTGTGGACACGCTTTGGCCGAGGCGATACACTCCCGAAAACCAAAAAGGACCCTGAGAAGGGCACTTTGAAAGATTGCTTTCCTTTACAAACCAGTGGTTTTCAGGGTCCAATGTTAGTCTTCAGCGGGGATGGAGGATGTGTATGCTTGTGGTTGCGTGTCCCGTAATCTGGAATGTACAATGTACATGTCTTACACAACCTATTTTAATGAATCTCTGTTAGTGGTCAGGAACTACCACATACGGGTGGGAAGCAACAGGAAGTTGCACCTTTGCATCTCGTGACTGACAGTTCGTTGATTGAGAATGCAAAACGCAGCAGTGTTTTAGAGAAAACGTTGAAGTTTGCTAGCGTCGGATATCTGGAAAAAGAACTGAAACTGAAACAGTGATGGTTTTTCCTGTCATGAGCAGCCTGGCGAGCTTGGTTTATCCATTCTACTGGTTCTTTCGGCTATTCTGACTATTCTTGTTGCTTCTTCTCAGAGCTTTGACATAGACCCGTAGACCTTTGATCCAATCGCGACCGGCGTCCAGACGTGCTCCCTGGGATCGCTGTTCGTGCCTTCGCTTCGAGGGACGCATGGCCATTGCCTGCGCGTTGATGGGGGGTCTTGGCCACTCGGTGAGACGGTGCTTCTTGTTACTACTAGTAAGGCACTTGTTACTACTAGTAAGGCACTTGTTTCTAATAGCTTCTTGTTACTACTAGTAAGGCACTTGTTACTACTA